TAACCTGGCATATACTACATGCATAAATTGTCTTTGTTCAAACCTGTTCCCCACACCCATCATGGAGCTAATATGCCCATCTTTCTTTCACATTTTAGGATACAATGTAAAGTCAATCTCCAAACAAATTCCCAATTTGACATAATACAAGTAACTTATGTTTTTGAGTGCTTACTATGTGCCAAGCATGTTCCATATGATATTCAGTGCCCGGTATGGCCCTAAGGATTAGGTAGCCACCATCAGCTCCATTTTATAGATCGGGGACTGTGGCTCAGGGAGGATAAATAACTTGCACGAGGTCACGTGCCACCTGGCAGAGCTGGGATCCGAGCAGTGAGTCCAGAGCATATGCACTACCTTGTTCACAAGTGTTTTGAAGAGCACAGGGCCTAGTGTACAGTTGGTACTCAACAAATATTTGTTAACTGAGTGAGCTAATGAATAAAGTAATGAAGGAAACAAATGTGGCTTTTCTCCTACCCTTCTTACTGTAGGCCTTCAGTTAGTAACAAACTTATTTTGGTAGCACTGTCTCAGATTATCTGAACTATATCGTCCCTATCACTGTCTTCATTCTTTCCCGTTAAGAATTATGTAACTGCTGTATTTAAGGTCTCAAATGCGGCTAAACGAGGTGGCGTGTGTCTGTTATCACAGGACTTGGGAGAACGAGGCTAGGAACTTGCTTGAGCCACAGTGTGCAATGCTTATTGTTCAACATCTGTTTGGTTTATTTATTTATTTATTTATTTAAATTTTTAAAATTGAATTTATTGGGATTACATTGGTTAATAAAATTATCTAGGTTACAATTCTATAATACATTATTTATATATTGTATTGTACGTTCACCACCCAAAATCAAGTCTGCTTTCTTCACATTTATCTGCCATTTACCCTCTTCTACCTGCCCAACTCCCTCTGGTAATCTCCGTGCTGTTGTCTGTGTCTATGAGTTTTGTGGTTTTTTTTGCTTAATCCCTTCACCTATTTCACACAGTCCCCCAGACCCCCGCCCCCGACAGCTGTGGGGCTGTTCTCTGTACCTTTGAGTCTGTTTCTACTTTGTTTATTTTGTTCAGTAGTTTCCACATATCAGTAAAATCATATGGTATTTGTCTTTCTCTGACTGGCTTGTTCCACGTAGCATGATACCCTCTCGAACTTTACTGAGCACTCAGTACCCACCCATGTTTGCTCTGTGCTAAAGGCCTGGGGATTCAGCAGCGATGAGAGGAGACGAGGCCTCTGACTCCGCTGAGTGTGCTGTGTAACGGCGTGGAGGCGGCGAGCGGCGGGGCAGGGACAGCGCCGTGGGGAGCGCCGCGCGGTGGGGTGCGCTCGCCCTTCTGCCCTTCTCGGAGCGCTGGGGGTCTCCTGCGGCCCTTCGCCTGCAGCTGCGTTACTCCCGGAGCAGGAGGGTGAGCTTCCGGCTTATAAGTCTAACCAGATAGACACTCCCTACTTTATAGATCTTGACTTGTTATCTGTTGCCCTTGGGATAAAATCCAAATTCCTTTCCTGTGTCTTACAAACACAGACCCTTAATGACCTCCAGACGGCTCCCGCCTTTCCTCTCTCATAGCTGCTTCCCATCAGAAGGCAGAGAGGGAGCAAAAACTTGCACTTTTCCTTATGCTTTTTAGTTTTTATTTTGTCCCAAAACTGCATTGTATTACAATTTTACTTTTTATTATTTTGAACCATTTTTTAAGGGAGAGAAAAAAATGGATCAAGTTAATATAAAGGATATCGTAAAATACTGCTAAGATTCTTGTTTTATCAGTCTTATACATATTACACAGCATATTTTAAAACATGTAAGATAGTCTGAAATAAGGCATGTATTGCAGTGGTTTTGTTATAAAAATGTGCTTGTTAACTAGTATTTCTGGTATTATTTCACCATCTGACCCTCTTGGAAAGTGCTTGTTTCCACATGTGGTCATTTCATTTGTTGCTAATGGGCACTCTATAAAAAGTAACATTTTCTAGAACACCTGCTGAACATGATATTTCTGTGAAAAAAAATGTATTATTGCTAATATTTTTCTCCAAGCTTGCCAAAATTGCATATACCTTACTGAAAACCTATATACTAATTTTAGCTTTATTTAATTTTTTAGATACTATTTCTGATTTTGAATTGGATGTTACTATGGATTAGATAGAATTACTTGGATTATCAACCAGACTGTTTCTCATATATGTTAAGGTTACAGTTCAAACAAGTTCTGTAGCAATAAATTGATTATATCCAGAGGACAATTATGAATTATGGCTTTATTTACATTTCTATTAACATGACTATTCAAGAGTTAAGTATAAATAAAACTTTTTGTCTGATGAAGGGGAACTGAGTATGGATCTTTAAAAAACATTTTTAAGACCTCAGTAAACACATTTTTCATTTGTGGTGTCCCTAGTCAATACAGTGCTTTTTAAAAACAAAAGTGATTAGTCTTTACAGTAGAGAACAATAAACCAAACCCTCATCCGTGACCACATAGTCATGTTTCAGAGGGAATTTTTTTCACTAGTTGGAAGGGCTAAATGACATCTAAATTCTCTTTCAGCTCTAAATTCTGTGGTTTTTAATTGATTTTGATTTCTCTACTAACCTAAATATGTCATCAGCCAAACACTTCATGGAAGTTTCTCAAAATTTGTATAAAATCTTAATCTGTCATGTGTTAATAATTAAGGAGACAGAATGGACTACAGTTCGTGCTGTTAGTGGCAAAGCGGCACCAGAATGTTACTACTGACGACTGGGCCTCAGTTCAGCAACCTCAGTACTTAACTAAGGCTCAAATACAAGCAAAAGTTTATATAGAAAGTCACAGAGGTAGAAGTGAGCCATGGAAGAAGTGAACAGACGACACATAACGTAGAAAATAGAGGTGGTGAGCAAACGTATGGGTCAGTATTCAGACTCATTTGTAATCAGAGAAGTGTAGATTTAAATGACATTTATTTTTACTTGTTAAATTAGCAAAGGTTGTTCACTGTCATGTCATTTATAATAAAAAAATAATATCAATAATTGTGACACGTTCTTTTGGTACTATTAAAAAGAGAGGTTATGTAGATTATGTTGCAACCTGAAAAAATATAATACTTGAGTGACGTAATTAGGAGTCCTAGTTTTTAAATTACTTAGGTGGGGCAGTGGCTGAGAGAGAGCGGGATCCCTCAAGTGAGAAAAGCCTGGGTTCGGTCCAGCTCTACCACTCAGTAATTCTGTGGTCCTGGGCCAATGTACAAACCTTTTTGAACTTCGGTGGTTTTTTTCCCTTCTCCTAAAAACGAGATGCCTCTTTGGTTGTAAATGTAGGCAGAGCATCTGACACAGAACCTGACACAGTGTTCATTCAGTGAGTTTTTGTTGAATGAATGAATGTGGTTATTACGGGCTACATATAAAAGATTGTATATGAAGAAAGATTAGAGGAAAATACAGCAAAATGAAAATGCTTATGTTAGGGTAAAGGGAATATAAGTTAATTGACATTTCTCCCGTTTTCTATAATTTGATCGTATTATAGTTGTAATTAAAAGAATTATCTAAATTCATACTTAATCTTTCTCTTTTGTGTGTCCTATTATACTTACTATTTGAAAAACAAGTCTTCGGACTTGATTGATTTTTAAAAATTCAAATACCTTTGAGTCAACCTCAACCCTTTTCTTCCGCTCTACACCTCATATCAAACCTATCAGCAAGTCTTGTTGGCTCTGCCCTTTAGAATATATATCAGGAATTCCGTCGTTGGTCACCACCTCCACTGTTACCGTCCTGACTCAAGCCACACCAGTCTCTCAGCTGGGACGCTGCAGTCGCCTCTTAACTGGCCTCATTGACTCCATCATCATTCCTTCCCAGCACATCTCAAGACAGCAGCCAAGGCGGGTACAGCCCAGGCCACGTCGCATTACTGCTTCGAGCCGCGCAGTGGTTTCTCATCCCACTGGAAGTGAAAGACAAAACCCTAACGCGGCCTGCAGAACTCTTACAGAACCTGGCCTCCGTCCCCAAGCTCACACTTTCTGACCTTGTTTCTTACCATTCTGCTTTTCTCTTCTGCTTACAAACTCTTTCTGCAGACATTGAAAAGGCTGGCTCTTTCCCCTCCTGCAGGCCTGCGCGGGTGTTGCCTCACCGAGAAGCAGGCCTTCCCGCCCACCACCAGGCCGCCCTTCTCCCCACCGACACCCTGGCGCTCTTCCTGCCCTTCTCTGCCCGGTTCCTTCCAGCACCAACCATCCCACTTACTCTGTATGTTCTACCAAACATGTATAAGCTCATGTATGTACCCCAGTGAAAAATCCCATGGAGGCAGGGATTTTCATCTATTTTGCTCCTTGCTATAACCTTAGGACCTAGAGTAGCATCTGGCACATAGTAGGACTTCAATAAATATTTATTAAATACATAATTTTTAATTGTTTCCTATAAGTAAGTCTTCATCTCAAAATCAGTTTGAAAGCTCTTTGAGGGAGTGTCTGTCACATGTTGCTTTTGTTTGCTTCCCAGCCCCCAACTTCAGCCCTCCTCACGTGTAGAAAAAAGCAGGGCAGGTGGGCACACTAGTGCGCCATGACCAATATCTTCGGCACTGGACTCTCCGCGCCCCTTAGGCTGGGACTCGGCCCAGGCTGCTTGAGGCAAGGATAGGCCGTGCGAGGAACATTCTGCCTCTTGCCCTGGGTGGTAGCTCCATGGCCGAGTGTCGTGTGGAAACTCACGCAGCTGTGTGTTTAAGGCAGCGCACCTTCGGTGCTAACTCGTATGTGTGTTATGTCTCAGTGACAAGGTTTAAAAAAGTCTGTTCTACTCTTCGATACCGCCAGAGGAAGTTAAACATACTAAATGCTACATTAAGATGATTAGGAAAGAGTTCGCATGTTCTTCCTTATTGAGAATTTCTAGTTTATTGAAATTTTTGTGTTGAATTCAAAATTAAAGTAAAATAATTTTTATTTATCTTTTGCAGAACTGGTAATAGCAGAACTTCACAAAAAAATCAAAGACGCTTTTGAAGTGTTTGATCATGAGATGAATAATACGGTGGATGTGAGGTTTGGAAATATTTTCTTTGTTCATATTCTAAATTACTGATATAACTCATAAATAGGAGAGGGCTCTTTTGTCTTCTTTTTACATTCCTCAGATTTATCATGCTATTTAAACTATTTTGTTGTGCCCTGTAAAAGGTATTTTGGCTAACTATTGCTTCATATCGATACTGTGTCTTACTCTTTATAGTCTGGTGAAAAGAACATATCGACATTGCCTCTTCCAACCTGCAGGCTGCCAGTTCTGTGAGTCAGATAAACTCTACTGTAGTTGTAGTGTTAGACCCAAAATTTGTGTTTAGTAAATTTTTGTTGAGTGAATGAACAGATTTTTCTTTGAAAATAAATTGTTATGTGTTATCAAGCCGTGAGTGGGATATTACACAGAAAGATTAATAATGCTTAAGCAATCTTACACTTCCCAAGTAAAACAATGAAAAGAACGAAAACAAAGGAATGTGAAATAATGAGAGAAAGACATGAATACTGGTAAATCTAGAATGGAGGACAGGAAACGAAGAATAGTTTGAGACAAAAAACAAAACAAAAAAAAGACAAAAGGTCACCATGTCACCATTTTTTCCCCCTTCCCTTCCCTCTGCTTTGCACGTGTGGAAGGTGTCATGGGCATTTTAGCACAGTAGGTAGAGGGGAGGTCTGGTACCGGGGCTGCCTGGCAGCTGGTGGGCTTGTCATCGCTGCGCAAAGCATTGCGGAGCAAGCCCTGCTGCTTTCCACCTGTCCCCGCGGGCAGCCTTGGGGTCTGGAATCGAACTGCCTGGGTTCCAGTCCTGGCCTTGTGGCTGTGAGGAGCCTGTTTGTTCCCTCTGTGCCCAAGCTTCCATGTTCGCCTCACAGGATGGTGAGGATAAGTAGTTCTCACAGAGTGGCTTGGAGACCTCTTGTGTTCCAAGGATGCTTCCAGGGGTCTGTGAAGTCTAAACTATTTTTATGATAAGTCAAGACAGTATTTTCTATTTTCATTCTCATTTTTTCCACAAGTGCATATTGGAGTTTTTAAAAACCTACATGATATGTGATATTGCAACATATTGAATGCAGAATCAGACAGGAGAATCCAGCTGTCTTCTGTTAAGCCAGACATGAAAGAGATTTACAAACATGTAAAACATATTAATAACCTTAATATATTGAATTAACCTCCCATCAATGGATATTTAGGTTGTTTCCAGGCTTTTCCTATAATAGCCCATATTGCAGAGAATATCTTAGTTTGCATGCTATTTTGCAAAAGTGAGAATTTTTCTCTAGAATAAATTCTTGGAACTATGTCAAAGTACATGAAGATTTTTTGGTAGGTGTTGCTATCTTGAAAATATAGTCTCTCACTTCATTATTTGAGCGTGCCTCTTTCCCCACTCCCTCTTAAACAAACTTTAAAAGTCAAACTTCAGGAATTTTGCCAATCTGATATGTGAGAAATAGAAACTTATGTTAATTTTCATTTTTGTAATTATGTATATTGTTTCATATATCTAAAAGTGATTTGTATTTCCTTTTGTTTGACTAGGCAGCTTATGCTCTTTCCCCATTTTCCCCATTGAATTATTTATCTTTTTATATGTTAAAGATCTTAGCCTTAGTCTGTGAAAAAAATGTACGCCATCTGTTTTTTGACTGTTTTTACTTTCTGACATTCAGAAATTTAAAAAAATAGTCAAATTACACATTTCTTGAGTATGGATTTAATTTTTAGAAACACACAAAAGTCATTAGAGTAATTTTAATAGAATAAATGTAAGTTACCCTGAATCACAAAGGGCGTGGGGCCGGGAATCCCAGCAAACTGTGTCCCAGGATGTATAGATGGGAGCTGGTTGATAAGAAGGGTGTTGTGACACAAGAATAGCACTTGATTCAGGCTACTTTGTTGAGGATCCTTAACTGGCTGTTGTGACAAAGAAGAGCCTTTCTGTATTCTATGTCTGTGGAGGCCGACTTTGATTGACTCCGCACTGTAAGTATCTGTCTGTTGTACTTGTATTGTCTTGATCAGGTACAAAATTTGCCGAACGGCCACAGCGCTTTGGAGCCAGAGGCTGGGATCGGCAGTCTCAGGGAGCGTACTTCTCGGGGCCTCTGGGCATATAGCTCCTGGGGCCTCTGGGTGTGTGTCCTCTGTGGCTTCCCAGTTCCCACTCCTGCAACTTCAACCTGCTCTCCTTGATGCAGGGAGTAAAATGTTGGATTCACTTGAAAAGTGTCAGTCAAGTGTGGAAGACTCATGCAAATGCATAGTACAGAACAGTTCATGGAAGTGCCTTCATTAGTTTTGAAAGGGATATAAAGACGGGATATAAACCCAAAAAACATTGCCATGTGCCCGGATGGCCACATGCATATTTGTAAATCTAGTTCCCTCTCGTTTATTTTGTTGGCGGGGCTCTCTAAGGTGGCGTGGGACCAAACACTCTTAAGTTTTCTCAGTTAATGCTAGTGTGTTATAAGGCTGTGGTTGGAAATGTGATATAAGAAGTAATTATTCACTATACGCCACCTGCGTGACTATGGTATTAAGTCACTGGGTGCTGGAGTTTGTCACAGCGCTGCCCATTCCCCTCACAGAGTGGCGTCACTGAATTTTCTCCACAGGAAGCCACGGAAGGGTTGGGGGCCCCGAACACCTTGCTGAGCTGTGTGCTAGGCTGAAGTTGGTTGATGGGGGGCCTGCTCACGGGGGCTGCTGGGGATAGAAGAAGAGCCATCATTGCCTTGCTCCTCCTGGCAAGCAGGACATGGCGAGCGTCTCCCTTTGCAACTTCCTCTGCAGATCTGAAGCGCTGGATGTCAGATGCATGTGTAGTCACTAACGAAGACCAGGAGCTGTTCGAAATCGCTCCAGGTTTACTTGGGCGGAGGGCAGTGAGAAAGGGCAGTGTAGGGGGCAGTAGCTAGAGGTTCCACCGTGCACACAGAGCGCGTAAGTCCATCACCACACAATCAGTTGTAGCAACGGAATTCCATGTTCCCTATGTTCTGGGCACAGAGGTGACAGCAACTTTATCCATTTCACCTGCAGAGATAGTGAGGCAAGCTGTCTAAATCTGTTCTTGCCCTGGGGAGGTAGGAAAGACAGGACTGGGGTGGGCGCTATGCAAATGGCCATGAAAGGGAAGGATCTGGTTTCACCAGCAGGGTCCCCAGGAGCAGAGGACCCACTGTTTCTGTCTCTGAAGGACTCAGCAGTGAAGTGTCCGAGGCCTGAGTGTCCGAGGCCCCTCTGGAGACGGGGCCGGGAGCCAGCTGTGCGGCTGTGGCTCAGGCTCGCTGTGGTCAAGTGGAAGGTGCGGTGGGCCCCTGGCAGCTAGCCCGGGGCCTTCTTCTCTTTCGCTTTTTGAGTTACTGAGAGATGCCACTCAGGCGTCTACTTTTTTCTGAGAACTACTCATGCGTTTGAAAAAGAATTTCCAGCCTTCCACGGAACGCTCGTTTTAGGTCCTCTCTCCTTTGCTCGCCTAACTCTAAGAGTATTTCTGTGTTTAACCAAAAGCTTATATTTCTTATCTCTCCTAAGATACAAAAACAAAATGGATGTACTATTTAGGTTCTGTAACGTGTAGCAGGGCGTCCAACCTGCGGCCCGTGGGCTGCGTGCGGCCCTGGGTGGCTATGAATGCGGCCCAACACAAAATTATACATTCCTTAAAATGTTATGAGATTTTTGTTGTTGTTGTTTTCATTAGTGTTTGTGTATTTAATGTGTGGCCCAAGACAACTCTTATTCTTCCAGTGTGGCCCAGAGACGCCCAAAGGTTGGACACTCCTGGTACAGCACGGCCTCTGGCTTACAGACAGTGTCAATTATATCAGCAGGCAGTATGTGGTTAGTTGTGTGGAGTTACTAGGAAATGAATGTGTAAAGGTGGGTTAAGGGCCAGTCAGAGATTGATCTTGTTTCCTGCCCTAAGGAGCCTAGATTTTCTTATGTAGGCAATACAAATCTGCAAATACAGAGAAGTGAGAAGACTAGATTTGGTTTCTAGAGGGAAAACCCGACCTATAGAATGGTAGCTAAGTTGGCGTGTGGACTAAAGCAGTGTGGTTCCTCTTTCAAGGTGCTCCTAAAACAACCAACCAACCACACACATGGAAAAACAAGCGAAGACTTAAGCAGGGACTTGAAGAACAAACTCCAGTGCACCAACTCCAACAAGTAGTGGCTACAAACAAGGAGATGGAGCAAAAGGAATTCCTGTCCTCTGCTCCGGGGCATCTTAGTCAGCGCTTGGGAAAACACCTGGGTAACTGCGGCCTGTGCAGGGGCCTCACAGAGCCGCCCCGCAAGCCCCGCTCCCCGAGGGCCGCAGGCAGACAGCAGCACGGAGCTGCCCGACCCCAGGGCCTGGGGGCGCTCCTGGGCCCGCCGCCTGCAGCCAGGCGGACACAGCGGGCTGGCGAGGACGGGGAGGCCGCCTTAGCGCATCCTCACGAGCAGCGACCCTTTCAGGCCTAAGCGGCCTTCGACACTCACCCTGACCTCTGTGTCCTGCGTCATCCCGTCCCCTCACTGAGGCGGTGACCAGGGGACGCCGAGCAGCCCCAGCTGGGGGAGCGCACGAATAATCTCATGGAAAGGCCTGCGTTGTGACTCGAAAATGTTCCATTCCGGAAACAAAACTACGAAACACTCCTGCCTAATAACCCCCACCCCACAGCTAATGCCCTATCTTCGTCTTTCTCTTCATAGCCAGCATCTTAATAAAAAAAGAGTTTGCTTTTATTGATAACCTTCACTATGTTGATACCATATGATTTCACTCATATGTGGAATCTAATAAACAAATCGTGAGGTCACAAGTAAAATAGAGACAGACTCATAGAGGGAGAGCAGGCTGACAGCTAAGGGGGGAAGGGCAGGGGTGGAGGGACTGAGCAAAAAAGAAAAAGGACTCACGGACTCGGGCAGCAGTGTGGTGATTGTGGGAGGTGGGTGGAGGTGGAAGAGGGTATAAAGGGGACAAAGGGTAATAGAAAAATACAAT